CATTTCAGTCCATCAACTCTGGCACTTTAAATGATGGCCAGGCAGAGATGTATTCACTGGTTCTTTTGCCATAAATGTTGGCCAAGAGACTGTTTTCTCAACTGTTTGCACATTCAAAAATCACTAATACTTGGATCAGCACATGGCATAGCAGTTATGTTGTTGTACTCCCACGTGGCTGACTGCAGTTCAAGGCGTGGACCCAGTGACGTGAAAGTCAGGCCAGACGTGTTTGTAGATTTCAGACTTATACAGTCCAGGGGGATGGGCCTGGGATGGAACCAAGGAGAAGATGCGAGAAAACATGGGAGAAGATCAAGACCTGGCCCAGTTCTGACCCATGAGATCCAGGTTTCTGAGATGCACATACGTGTGCTGCGTGGGCAGCCCAAGAGTAGGGCTGGAAAGTCCCCCTTCAGAAAGACAGGTACCTGTACCCTCCTGTTGACCCAGAGACCTCATTCACTGTGTCTGTGAGTAGCGTGTGCCGTCCCCAGCCCCCGTCTGCTCCTCTGTACAGATCAGGGCTCAGCAGCTGTGAAGGTCCTTCCGGGCCCTCCCTGCCCAGCGCCCTTCTTGGCCTGAGGTTTCTGAAGAAAGTGCAGATTCCTCCCTAGGTCTTCTCTGGCAAATTTCTTCTGATCATTTGTTCCCAAATTCTCTGAACTCACTGCCTAATGGGGGCAGAGCTTTTTTTTTCTTTTTTCTTTTTTAAAGAATTCTTTTTATTTAATTTTATTTATTAATTCACTTATTTATTAAAGAATTATTTTATTTAACTGTATTTATTATTATTATCATTATTATTTTCCAGTTTGATCAGAGAGAGACAGAGAGAGAGAAGAGAGAGAGAGAGGAAGTGAGAAAGCAAGCCACCAGGTCCGAGACTTGAACCATGGTCGGCCATGTGGGAGTCCAGCACCTTTAACCACCATGCCATTTGCCAGTCCCTATTCATTCATTTATTTTAATTGAATCAGAGAGACACAGAGAGAGGGGTGGGGGAAGTGAGAAAGCAAGCCACCAGGTCCGGGTCTCAAACTGTGGTCGGCCACATGTAGTGTCCAACGCTTTAAGCACCATGGAACCTGCTGGTCCTGGGTGCAGAGTTTTTGTTTTGTTTTGTTTTGGAGAGATTTTTGCTATAGGGCGCCTGTGCTCGCCAGACAGACAGAGAGAGACAGAGACAGAAAGCGAGAAATCACCCCCCCAGGGGGATGCTCACGCCGCAATCCCTTCTCCTCCATTCTCCTCTCGGGATCTTGGGCACGCACGCACACGCACAAGGCGTGAGTTTTAAGTCACCAGGTCCGGGACGCGAACCAGGGTCGACTTCGTGGGACTCCAGCGACATAGCCATTATGCTAACTGCTAGTTCCCCTGGGTGCACAGTTTTGATGTGGGCTCACACAAAGATCTGGAGTTGGCTGGATGATTGGATGATGTTTTCAATATTCTTCATGCCCCTGAATTACACAGTTAAACATGATTGGAAGGGTAAAACGTACATTTATTTTTGTCATAATAAGGAAATGCCATACTCCAGGAAAAATAAAGCGAGTTAAATTCATGGAATTATCTGAGCAAAGAAATACAGAGTAGGGTGGTAGCACGGGTCTCCCTGTGTTCATACCTGGCGATTCTGTGCCACGTTTGCCTGTCTCTGCAATGAAAAAATAACCGTAAAAACGCCACCAGGAAAATCTACTTAAATGATGTTTTATTTAATCCGATAGGTCCCAAATTAAGTACTATTTCCACATGCAGTTGATATAGAATTACGTATATTTTACACACTCTTGCATGGTTCTTGTATTTAAATTTGTCTTTTAGATTTTTATTTTTGCATGTGAGAGACAGAGAGAGAGTGAAAAGGAGAGAGAGAGAGAGACAGGGAAACGGGCCCTCAAGTGGGTCCTCACAGTAGCACTCCACTCCAGTCCTCAGCCTCCCTGACACATGGTCATGCACACATAACTGGCAAGTTCACGCGAGCCCAGTCGTGTTGCCACACCGCATAGCTGACCCGTTTCTCTATTAAAAATTTATTATTATTATTATTATTATTATTAATCTGGAGAGTGTGTGGTTTATAGGGATGTGAGTTTCAGGCTGATGAGGAACTGCAGTGGCTGCTTCAGTGTCCACCGTGACAGGCAGAGCTGAACCTCACAGAGTTATTGCCATGTGTGTCTCTGGTCAGGGTGAGGACAGAGACCGTGCAGTAGTGGAAGTGGAGGTGGAGGGTGTGCGAGTGCAGCTCACACCCCCAGGTGCGTGTCTGCAGCTCGCGGTGCAGCTGGGGCCGCTGCTCTTCTTTCCCGGGATGTGCCTTCAGCCTGGATCAGCCTCTCGACTCCTTCAGAACCAAGGGCTCCAGGGATGGGAGGCTTTTTGTTCACGCCATTAAACTGCAAGGAATATAAACACATTATGCGACGTTTGGATGTCACCCTGAGAAATAAGGAGGGAAACCAGAGCTCTTGGGTGCACAGTGGCTCCCGCAGGTCCTGACGTCCACTGCGGGGACAGCTGGGTCCTAGGTGGCTTCCCCGAAGCTGACACTCCATGGAGACCTGCAGACTCAGGACAGCTTGGAAGGAGGGAGGAGGCACCTGGGGGAGGAGCATGTGCTGACCTGCAGGGAGGGTGCAGGCTTCCCTCGAGGGGATGCTGCACCTGGGGACTTCCAGGTGGGCCTAAGTTGAGGCAGCACCTCTGGATCAGGGTCACAGGTTGTCGTCAAACCAAACCCCTCTGCAGAGAGGCTCGAACTGTGGGAGGCAGTTGTGTGGACATCAGCACCTCCCAAGGAGGCCCAGCCCTGAGCTAGAGGACACACCTTCAATATTTGGTTCAAGAACGGGCCCAGACACCAATACCTGGAAACTGACTATGAAAACTACGGATTGATATGAGCTGCCTGGGTCAGTCCACTCAGGTCCTTCCTTCATATGTCACTAAACGTCCCTCAAATCACCATGACAGACAGGACATGCCAGTCCTACACCCACCCCTGACTCACTCTCTGCAGAGCTTATCTGGGGGGCTGGGAGGAAGGACAATCTGAGGGCTCAGGTCTGGCTGAGCTGGACAAGCTTGGCTCCTGCTATGTCCTCAGTCCTTCTGGGACTACAGGGACAGTGTGACCCAGATGGGGAAGAGGGTTTGTGTCTCACTTCCCCATCTGCCTGTGTCACTGTGGGATTTTTATCGTTGTCTGCTGACTCACAGTAATAGTCAGCCTCGTCCTCAGCCTGGGCCCCAGTGATGGTCAGGGTGACCGTCTTTCCTGAGCTGGACCCAGAGAATCGGTCAGGGACTCCCGAGGGCCGCTCGGTATCCTTATATATAACCACCACAGGGGCCTGGCCCGGGTGCTGCTGGTACCAATCAGTATATATTTTATCCAGTAAATCTCCAGAGCAGGTGATGGTGGCCGTCTGTCCCAGGGCCACTGACACCGAGGATGGCTGAGTCAGCTGGTAGGAGGCCGCGGCCCCTGCGAAGAGGAGAGGAGAGGAGGACTGAGGAGGAAGGACGTGTTACCACAGACGCCTTTCCAATGTTATTCCAGGGCTGAGTCGGGGTTCAGGGCAGGGTCCTGTGGGGGCCAGACTTGGGGCAGGGCCTGGGGCAGCACCTGTGTAGAGAGTCAGAAGAGGAAGCAGGAGAGGGGTCCAGGCCATGGTGGAGACACCCCAGAGCTATGCCTCAGAGCCCAAAGCTGGGGAGGGCCCCCAGGTCTCTCTTATCCTGAGGTAGGGTGACTCCTCATGCAAATGTCCTCCTTCCTTCTGTGGCTGTGGGTGGCTCCCTGCTGAGCAGAGAAAGGCTGGGCTTTCAGGAGGGTGTCCATGGGGCTGTCCCCAAGGCCTGTGCCCATTATCTCAGACTCTCTGGTGTTGAGGGGAAAAGTGCTCACACACACATACATACACACACATGCACCCCTCAGGCTGGGCCAGGGCTCCTTCTCCGGGCTGGGCAAGACCCCTTCATTCCCCTCTCTGGTGAGAAGACAATCTCTGGAGTGCACTGGGCCAAGCTTGGACTGGTGCTCTTGGGGTCAGGGGTCATGCTAGAGCCGGGGAGTTTAGAGTATCATGACTGGACAAAGTATAAATAGCCATGCACCTCTGTGAGACTACTCATTACGTATTAGGAAATGAAAAAGGGGTGAACCAAACTCTTCTGGAAATTGTTAAGCATTCACATTCTTGAGCCCAAAACTACACATACACTGTGCATAATTGCTAAGATGAACCTCATAAAAATTAAACGCTTTTATAAAAATATTTTTAAGGGCCTGCCAGTGGCGTGGTGGCTAAGTCAGCTGGATCCCACAGGCCTGACTGAGCAGATCAAATCCCAGAACTGGCAGCTTCAAAAATATGCGGGTCTCACAGTTGTGCACGCCTAACTCCTGACAGGAAGGATCGAGGGAGAAGGAACCGCAGTGTCTCTTTGTCCGTGGGATGTGTGTTCTTCATTTCTCTGTTTCTCTTTGTCTCTCATTGCAGAATGATTGCACCCACTGAAAAATTAATTTTTTTCTATGTTTCTGATTTTAGCCAAAAGACACACGTACTCAACAGACAGAGGCAGAGAGAAAGAGAAGAGAGAAATCACTCTTTGAGGAGATGGCCATGCGACAATCTCTTCTTCTCCTCTCTGGATTTGGGCATGCATACACAGGTGCCTGGCATTTCTCAAGCCAACAGATCAGGGATTCGAACCACATAGTTGGTCATGTGGAACCTAGTGCCCTAATCTCACACTCTCTGCTGGCCCTAAAAAGATTTTTTTTTAAATTGTATTTTTTTCGGGGTAAAATATGTGGTTTCGTGTGCTCGTACACAGTGAAATAACTGCTGTAGTCAGTCAAATGATCATGGTCACCATCTTGAAAAATTAAGGGTCATTTTGGTTTTGTTTTGGTGCCATGAGCACTCATACCCTGCTCCCAACAGATTTCTAGCACAGCCTGGGAGATCTTAAAGGAAGGGCCAGGTGGTGTCAGGGCAGAGTGGATTCACCCAACAGAAGGGTCTCAGGGGGAGCCTCAGACACACCCTCTGCACTAGACCTCTGCCAGGGCAGTTATCAGGGCCCCCTAATGAAGGCCCACAGTGCCCCCTGGTGCTTGCAGGACAAATGTCACCTACCTGTGCCTACTTCAGACAGAATGACCCCTTTGGATCCTAAAGCAATACAGATGTTTTCTGGATGTTTATAATCACCAGCTCAACCAGACCTTCCCAATAACCCCCAGAAATCCTGATCTAAGAAGGAAATCTCATCCCATCTATGACCAGGGACCATCAATGGGAGGTGAAATGATTTCCCCAAAGACCCAGACAGTAGTGGGAGGGGCCCAGGGCCAGGAGTCTCAGCTCACAGTGGCCTTCCGCCTTCTTGCACCTGCCCCCTTCTCATGCTCTCTCCCCTAGGCCTCCTGGGCCCTCTTGTCATAGCCACTCTGCAGGGTCTACGAACTCTGACCTCCTGAGCTCTGTGGACAGAGGAGGGGACACTTGCTCTGCTCCCTCCAGGACTAGAGACAAAAGAGGGTGTGTCAGTGGTGACAGCAGACATATCAGAGGCTTGATCTGGCTCCACTTTACAGGCCGTGTCCTTAAATATTAAGGTCAAGATACCATTTTTGTGAAATCAAGGCTGCTTTTGTACAATGAAAGGGGAAAAAAAGGTAATGGGGAAATAATAAAAAGAGAGAGAGTCACTTTATTGGCTACAAACCCATGAATGATGATAACAAAGCCCCTGCAAACTTGGACACAGTAATGCCAGGTGCAGACGGTAATCCCAGATCTCTGTTCTTTAATATTAATAAGAAGGGAGTTCTCCATGGAAGCTGAGGACTAGTGCTTTCAGGGAATGAGAGAAATGAAGATTTTCTGCTGAGAATTCACCCCGGTAGAGTCCCTTGTATCCTTTTCTCTGTCTCTCTGTCACTCTCTTTTGTTTCATTTTAAATGTTTTTTTTCTTTTTTTAAGATTTTTTTTAAGGTAAAGTATTTTCTTGACTCTCAGATTCTACTTTATCTTGCTAGTAATCCCCTTTCCCCCCTCCCACTAAGGAGAGGCAAAAAGGGCAGGTCTTTAGAAGAAGACCGAGTCCTCTGTGGGAGTTGAGAACTAGTGCATTTGTGTGACTTGCTCATGTGGCCTGCATTTTTCATTTGTTGTGTTCTAAAAGAAAGAAATAAAGTATTTTTCTTTGTCTTTTTTTTTTCTTGACCTTTTCCTTGTACCTCATCAGTTTATTGCTCAGCTACCACGCACTGAGCAGATCTGTGAACTGTAGCCAAACAACCGAGTACTATTAGGGTTCTAGTAATCCTCTTTCTGCCCTCCCACTAACGAGAGGCAAAAAGGGCAGTCCTTTAGAAGAAGACCGAGTCCTCTGTGGGAGTTGAGAACTAGTGCATTTGTGTGACTTGCTCATGTGGCCTGCGTTTTTCATTTGTTGTGTTCTAAAAGAAAGAAATAAAGTATTTTTCTTTGTCTTTTTTTTTTCTTGACCTTTTCCTTGTACCTCATCAGTTTATTGCTCAGCTACCACGCACTGAGCAGATCTGTGAACTATAGCCAAACAACCGAGTACTATTAGGGTCAAGATATTTATCAATTCCCAG